GTTTACTTCTATGTTGTAACTGAGGCAATCTGGTATAGTGGAAAGGGTTGGAGATGCAGTCTTTAGTTTCAGCTCTATTACTCATTCACCATGTATCCCTGGTGAGCAAAACACTTCACCTCTCTTGGAATATTTTGGGGTAGTTCTAAGAGTGCTGCATCTGGAGCCAAAGAAGCCAGCTTTATATCCCAGCTCTATTGCTTAGCACCTGTATGGTCCTAGCTAAGTCAGTAAATGTCTCTCAGCCTCAGTTTCCTCATCTGTGAAATGATAGAGTTGGACTTGGTGACCTCTAAGGACCCTTCCAACTCAAAATCTATGATCAGAGAGCTGAACTTAAATTAGATGACCTCTATAGTCCTTTGCAACCCTAAAATCTAGCTAGATAATGATGATCAAGATATATAGCTATCTGATAAACAGAGATAGATGAGAGATAGATATATAGATAGAGTCATAGACTGGTATGCCTGGTATTCAATGATTTGGTGTTTACTATGTGCCAAGCAATATGCTAGTTATTTATTCTATCATTTATCTGAAGGGAGAAATTTTTCAACTACAGAATCAAAGAACATCAGAGTCAGGGCATCTCGTACCAACCACACCTGAGCAGAATTCACCTCAATAACATCTCAGACAAGTGAGCATTAAACCTCCACAAATTTTACACTGTAGTTTACATGTAACTTAAAATGAGTAACTTTCAGTTATGCTGAAATAAAATCAAATGCTAGATTGAAGAACAAACTTCAGCCTATGTACAAGATTAAGAAAGAGCTGGCTAGGAAATGAGTCAGTCTTTCAGTTATTCAACAAACACCCATTAAGTGTGAATACACATGCTGTGTTGGAAGCTGGTGGCAGAGTTGGGTAGCTCTGCATGAAGGAGATGAGAACTGAGTGGGCCTAAAAAGAGGGATGGAATTAGATTGACATATAAGACAATGATTAGATAAAAGACATCATGAATCAAATCAGAAGACAATGGATTCAGAGGCAAAAAGATCTGGATTTGAATTCTAACTCTACAACTTACTCCAAAATCACTTTCAATCTCTGGCCTAAAAAAAAAAAAAAAGAAAAGAAAAACAATCTCTGGCCTCAGTTTTCTTATCAGTAAAAATGTTGAGGTTGGACTGCAAAGTTTTCTAAGGTCTCTTTCATCTCTAAAGCTAATAATTCTAGAATGTGGATGTGTGACAAGGAAGAAGAACATGTCAGTAGTGGGGCGGGTGTAAGCAACCCTAAAGAGTCAGATATGGTATACCCTCATTGGAGGCCAGTGAGATCAGCCAATCTAAAATGGAGCATTAATGATAAGTAGGAGAGCTCTGGTATTGGGGTATATAGGTAAATGAGTAGCCATTATACAATAGTGTGTACATACCATGTCAACACAGTGAGTTCTCCCAAGAGAGCAAAGTTGACAAATATAAGCTATGATTCCTAACCAAATGGATCCAGAAAACTCTGAAGAATGAATGAGTTTTGTAAGAGTTCAAAACCTTAGTGGTAGAAGGAAAAATGAGAGTTAACACTCTATATTGTTAGGTTGAATGCTTGTTCCTTTTCCCAAAAATCAGAGAGAATCTCAGAAATTGTTGTTTAAAAAAAAAGAAATTACTGCTTAAAATGATAGACTCTCAGAGTTGGACAGGACCTCAAGTGTTATCTGTCTAAATAGAAATCCCCTCTACAATAGCCTGACAACTAGTCACCCAGATTCCACTTGAAGATCGCTGGTAGTAGAGAATCAACCACTAGAAAGGCATTCTCACATACTATATAGTGCTAAACATGGAGTAAGGATGATCTTGGTTCCAATCCTTCCTTAATACTTGCTACCTTTCTGATTATAGGAAAATCAAAACCTTTCAAAACCTCAGTTTCTATAACCATCACCCCCTTCATCTCTACCTCCTGGCTTCCCTGGCCTTCTTCGGTACCAGCTAAAGTCCCGCTTTCCACTGAAAATCTCTCCTGATTCCCCTTTAATTCTAACGTCTTTCCTCTGTTGATTATTTCCTATTTATCCTGTCCAGAGTTTGTTTATACATGATTTGAACGCTATTTCCTCAATTAGACTGTGAGCTCCATGAGAGCAGGGAGTCCTTTCTTTGAATCCTCAGTGCTTAGCACAGTGCCCGGCATGTAGTAGAGTGCTTAATAAATGTTTATTGATTACCTGACTTACTGACTTTAATATCCCTTCCAGGCCTAAATTTCACAGCTCCTCAAGGTAGCCCACTACACTTTTGGACAATTCTCATTGTAAGAAAATTATTATTCATATTGAGCCAAAAATCTAACTCTTTGTAGCTTCCATAAATGGTTCCACCTTCTGTCCATGGAGCCAAGGAGCAGTGCGGCATAGAGAGAAGAACACTCAGCTTAGTGGTAGAAAGCACGCTTTCAAATCCCAGCAGCTAACTAAGTGAGCTGGAATGAGTCATTTCACCACCTATTGGCCTCAGTTTCCTCATTTGTAAAATGGGGGGATTGGATCCTATGATCCGTTAAGTCCCTTGCAGCTCTAGGTCCTGTGACTTGTGCCTAATTCTCTTCCAGCCAACAACCTTTGAAACAAAGACTCAATCCTACCACCCTCAGTCAGTCAACGAGTATTTATTAAGCACCTACTATGTCCACCACTGACAAGGTCTTCTAATGAAATAGCCGCAGTTACTTTGATGAATCTTTGCCATCATTTCTGAGTCCCCCTCACCATTCTTTTCATCTTCCTTTATACTTTCTGAGTTAGATCTCAAAAATATTGCACCAATGATGAAGTTGGGCTCGTTCCAAGATTTTCACCAGTACAAGTGAACTCAGGTATCCAAATAGCTCAGCTCCAATGAAGCGAGCCAGCACAGTCCTAGTGAACCCAGAAAGTCTTCAGATTTCACTGTGAATCATGTGGTCTCATCCCCTCCCTTCAACTTGACTCATTCTCTCCAAATCATCACCTAATCAGTCACTATCTCCACCCCCATTACCTAGCAAGGCTATTATTTAGATCAGTCTTTGGAGGAATAAACAAGGATTTGTTCCCCTACCCAAGGGACAGATTGGTAGAAACACTCCTAAAAAATAATCCCCTAAAAAAGCAATTATTGAAAAGAAAAGTGGAAAAATATCCCAAAAATCACTGAGATATAATGAAAGGACAGTTTGGGGTAGACGAAGAAGAGGAGAGAAGGTTTCAAATAAATTACAAACAGTAACCATGGGCAACACTTAAACCTCTTCAAAGCTCAGGCAATTCTCTAATTCTGTAAATGGTAGTTATGTAAGACATTGGATATGGAGTCAGAGAACCTGGATTCAAATCCAACTTGCTGCTGCCTGTGTCACCCCCCCCCCAAGTTATGTGACATCTCTACACCTCAGTTTCCTCATCTGTAAAATGAAGGGGTTGGACAAAATGGCTAAGTTTCCTTTTAGTTCTAACTCTATTCTCTTTGATACGAAGTAAGAGACCTGCTGGATGGAGTAATTCCATCAATATTGGGAATTCCCAATATGGAAACTCACTTCACAGATGCAGATAAGCAACTCTCCTTTAACTTAGAGTTTTGAAGAGTTGCCTAGGGCACCGAGAGGTTCAGTGATTTGCCCAGGAATACATAGCCCATATGTGTTAAAAACAAGATTTGAACCCAGGTTCTCCAGAATCCCAGGCTAACCCTCTATCCAAATGTGAGCTGCTCTGATATTAATCTTTTCTGAGAAGTGAAGCTATGACTACAACAAGCATTCTATTCTCCCATCTTTCCATCAGTCAGTCAGCAAGCACTTATCAGGTGTTTACAATGTGCCAGGCTCTAGGTTTTACAAATAAAAGGCAAAAACAGTCCTCTTCCAAAGGATATTGTCCTAGAATGAACAATAATGACCAATTACCTAGAATAAGAATCCTTGCTATGAAAGGCCCCATCCAACGGGACCAAAACTTGGACCTAGGCCATGCCAGTCAAGACAGTAACATTCATCCCTATGCTAAAGTAAGCTCTCCTTAGTAATGAACTCAGCACCCAACCATGCAGGCAAGCTAATTAGTCATGTTTCTAGATGCCATCCATCACTGCACACATTCCCAAATTTCATGCAGTCTGATACATTTTCTAATTTAAACAGCAAACAGCCTGGGCTGAGAGGGGGGGGGCCATAGTAACTGAAGTGTTGGCCAACCCTGACACCTAGTGGTAATCTAAAAACTGAAAAAACTTAAGTAGAAAAAACCTCAGTGGCATCGAAACAGTGAATCCTGACACAGGGCAGAATTTCAGGGTTCACCACCATCATGGATGTGAACATGAAGCATGGGACTGTCAACAGAACATGACCACCAAATTCTGGCTCTAAACAAGACCTAGAAAAGCAAGTTTTCTCTTTTCATCTTAATTTGAGGCGTAGAGAAGGAAGAACAAATGCTTCAGAGAAGGCATTTTGTGGCTGCTTCAAGTACTCAGAAGGCATGTTATCCCTCTTAGATACCGGATACTCTATTTAAATGTTCCCATTTAACTAGATTTCAAAAGTAAATCAGACATACTAATTGTCAACTCACATGGGGATCTTTTTCAACGTGATTTTCTTTCCTTATTTTGTATACCCATATATGAAATCTCCCTATGGTTTTTTTTCTCCTCAAACTGATCTTTAATAAATCCCAAAAATAAGTTCAGTCTTTCCAATAACAGCCAAAACTCCCTTCTTTTCTCATGGGTAACTAGACCCTCATAAATTGGCAGGGGAATCAGAATGAGGGATAAGGGATAAATAAACCCAGAGAGAGGCTGAGAATGAGGCTGAAATGCTACACTGTGTCGGTATGGTACGCCTCCATTTTTTCATGTATTTTTGGACCAAGTCCCTGGGAACCATCACTGCCAAGTTCTCCTCCAAGGAAACTGACAAGTATAAAGGTGAATTAAGACATTCAAGAAGACACAAAATATTCAACTCTCCCATTGTTCATGACTTTTTCTTTTTACCTGCTGGCGTTTGTGAGCCAAATAATCCAGATTTTCTAGCTCCTTGTCAAGTTTCTGGTAGGTCTTCTGCAGATCAGATTTGTTGGATGCATTTTTGAGGGACTCAAATGTCTTCTGAAACTGCAAAGTAAAAACGAAAACAAATCAGGAGGTCAATCAAACACATGTGCTGCTGTGGGAAAAGCACGGATTTTAGTGAAATCAGAAGATCTGGGTTCAACTCCTACCATTGATATTTACTACCTCTAGACCCTGAAGAAGCTGCTTAACCACCCCGGGTCTCAATTTCCTCATCCATCATCTAAGGGGATTGGATCAGATGGCCTCGAAGGTCCCTCACAGCTCTGTGAGATATCCTATTACCTACTATTTGGAGGAAAGCTGTGGTATAACAGGAAAGCCCTGCTTACTTGGGAGTCAAAAGATCTGGGTTCAAGACCCAACTCTGCCACATGCTAGCTATGTGACCTTAGGCAAGTCACTTTCCTCTCCTCTGTAAAATGACAGCAGTGGACTAGGTCATCTCTAAGTAACCCCAATGGAGCCAACATTTATACAATCCTAGGCAAGAAAGGAAAGTCATTCAACTTTCCAACCCTCAGTTTCTACCATCTGTGATATGGGGTTAACAACTGACATCCCATTATCTTACAAAATGAAAAAGAATAATTAGTTGTGATGATAAGAAGTTGGCAGCTAAAGCATAACTCCAGAATGTGATTGTTGTTGTCATTAGTATTACATGCACAATTACAAGTTGAATTATGGATAAGAAGCAATTTCGGTTCCCATCCCAACAAAAAGAACTCACTTCATTAAAAAATACTGTCACATTTTAATATGCACTGGTGCCTTAAAAGAATAAATTATGGTGAGTGTACTCTTTCAAACCACAATGGGAAAGCTTTGGGGAGAACCATTAAAAGCCCTCTCAAATTCCAATTACCAAAGCCCATGATTTATGAAAAAGTGGCTGCTCTCATGATATTTTGCTAGACTGGAACAGACTAGGCCTCCCTCCATAGAGATATTTAGGCAGAATTGGTCACATTACGAGCTCCAGCCAAGAAGACTGGTCCAATATCTTCTTTTTGAAATGGCTCAAAGCCTGGTATTTCAATCACAAAATTAAAACTGGAGCCTTCAAGAAGCAGTTGTACATTTCCACTTCCCAAGCAATTAAGCTATGAAACCAGTTCTAGGGATCAGAATACTCTTCAGTGGGAGAGTGGAAAAATCCCCTCTCTCATTTTTATTTTTAAGCAGCAGGTGAGAAAAATGTTGATGAGCTAAATTATAGCAAGTCACAGGACTTTTATCATTCAATTCCTAATAATCAAGTAGGCAAAAAGAAGGCTTATAAAAATTGAATTAGTTGCTGATTTTATGGAACCAAGACCCACCTTAGAGGTTTGTAATCAAAAATTCTAAGGTGTATCATTTGTAAATAATTCCCACTGTGTCTTTACATATATCATTTATGCCCATATTCTCATATTGCACTGCCTTACGTACAATCATTTAAAAAAAAAGAAGAGAGAAACTTTCACTCCATTCTGCCATCTCCCATACTTGTAGCACTCTCCCTCTTTAACGACACCTTTCAGAATCCTTATGGCCCTTCAAAGCTCAGCTCTCGTGCCCTCTATCACCTCTGCTTTCCTCAGACGATCTTCCCACACACACAGATTACCTCAGATTTAGTTAGCTGTGTATATGCAGTGTCCAGGGACTTGCATAGTGTTTGACGCATAGTAGATCCTTAATAAATGCCTAGTGATTAATTAATTCCCCTACCCCTTTCCCATGAGAATGCAAGCTCCTCAATAACAAGGATTATTTTGTGTTTGTCTTTGCATCTCAAGTGACCAGTATATTGCCTGGTACACCATAGGCACTTAACAAATGCTTGTTTGGATTGAATTGAATAGTACTGAACCAAGCTCTATTCTCTGCAGTCTCCCTGTTAAAAAAAAAAAAAGATTCTTTCGCACATCATCTCCATATCTTCACTATGTTATACAAGATATATTAAAGGAAAAAAACATATTTGTGAGGCTTCAAAGTAAAATAAAAAATTAATAGAGATGTTTCCAATGTATTATGGCTACAGCAAAAGAAAAAAGAGCAAAAGGATGGAAAGCATGCTACTACTAGATCATTTCACTGAAGGTCAAAGTTTCAATAAGAGGGAGGTTTTAGCTCAAATTTTTTATCATCATCCCTTACTGTCTGCATTTTATATGGTTTTTAAAATGCCTTAAACCTGACAAAAACCCTACTCTGGTGCTTCATTCTGTTATGATGGTGATCCTGAGTTCAGGAAAGCTATGCCAGGAGTGCAATCCCTGCCAAGCAGGATAACTTCTCCTTGCAGTCTGACAGACTTCTCCTCATTGAGGAAAAGTCCAGCTTTGTTCAAAGAGTCTCACAAATAAGGTACGAATTATTTAAGATTTGGGGTCATGCCAACCAATGAAATAAGAAAAATTACAAAATAGTCCTCAATCCTAAATAGCCCTCTTTCTATTTTTATGGTGACAGTAATGGGGAAATGGTAAAAGGTGCTAAGAGTAACATCTTTTTTAGACCATTTACAAACATTTATCTTGCTTGTGCCTTATTGTTTGGTAATTGTTTCTTACATGACAGAGTTGATGGTGCAAACTTTTACTCAAAGACTAATTAAAATAGAACAGTCTATCCATGAGCCTGGGTGATGCTCTCCCACCAATGCATACCAAGTCCATGGTGGAGAGTGAGCACACACAGAAACCTAACAGTGAGGCACGTGAACAAGGAGATTCATGTGCTTGGGGCAACTCACAACTCTGAATTGAAGATCTTCATGTCTATGATCTTTTTGCGGAATAGTCTGTACCTCATATCTCTGGCTAATCAAAAACAAAGCCTCCTCTGCTATCTTAGGGGTACTATAGCAATGTCAAGATCTTTTCACATAAGAACATGAAATGCATTAAGAAAGCATTATGCTCTTTTAGAAAAAAAAATATATCAACATTATAATCTTTCAATGAAAAAGAGCAATTCTCTTAAGTTTGGAATCATCCAAGTTAATCAAGTCTACTCTCTATGGGATACAAGGGGTTTTCCCTTCTCAATCCAAAAAAAAAGGAAGTAAAGAGCATTGTAGGCAAGCCCTTGTGGGGTTTGTCTTCTCTCAAGCCTCTTCTTCCAATAGCAGAGGATAGTTTTCTCCAACCATCTATCAGCAAAGCTATACCTCTTCTTCAACCAGTATAACTCATGACAATGTCAATGCTAATCCCTTTACCCTCTATTTTCTCCCTCTCAAGCCACAGATCACAGTAAAGGGAAACACAGGCAAGTTCCTGAGAGATTTCATCTCTCTCAGATGTAGAGAATGCTAAATGACTATAAGCCCAATCAGCTCCTCACAAAGGAGGAAGATTCCGCATTCCTCCAATCAGTTCCCAACAGAAGTTGCCTCCAATCCGACAGTTCCTCACATGCATGCCTGTCAGCTGTGCTCAAATCCTGCCAACTTATATATTCTTTCTTCCCTGAGGAAGTTTTTCTTGTTACCTTCTTCTGACTCCTCTTGTGTTTACCTTCTCATTTATAATGCCCCAGAGCAGGAACTGCTAGTATTTAGTGACTCATCTCTACCTTATGAAGAGAAAATCAAAATGCCCACTTTTCGGTCAGGTATAATCCCCCCCACCATGGTTCTTATTCATAATTGCCTCAAAGTACCTAGTTATTGGGTTTATAATTTCTCAGTTATAACCTTCAAAGCCCTAAAAACAGCTGTCTGTAAATGAGCTAGTGGACTTTAATGCATTGTAGCCATCCCCACCTTTAGCTTTTGCCAAAAGCTTTTTACTTCTGTTCTCTCTCTAGCACTCTCTAAACAGTCAACATCTCCCTCTTTTATTAGACTGACTGTGTTTCTTCTTAAACTGATTTTGTCAGGGTACCATACACAAATGTTCTTTTTTCTACCCCCCTGCCCAGAAACCAAAATGTCCATACAACAGAATGGCCAGAACCAACAATTAAATTGAGCTCCCCCACTATCACCATCTCCATCTTTTGAAATCCTCCCTTGTCTTCAAAGCCCAACTCAGCTGCCTCCTCCTTCAAGAAGCCCTCTCTGATACCAAAACTAATGCTACCACCCACCTCCAGATAAAAATTGTAACCCTTTCCTCAACTCTCACATGGCACTCAGTCAAGTTCTCCTTTGCCCCTATCATATTCTGTCATATTGTAATGGTCATTTGTAGATGTGTTCTATCCCTCCTGCTAAAATGCAGACTGTCTGAGGACAGAGACTATGCCATTTTCTTTCATTATACTCCCCTCAGTATTGAACAAGAGGTCTTTCCCACATAAAAATGTGTTGGGATAGCATGGATGTGCATCTGGCAAGCTCTTAGAAACATCAGACCACAGAAGGATCTGAAGATTCACCTCCAAAGAGGCAGGAGTCCTTAAACCAGTGCCTTAAGCTTCCTGGTTCCACTGCTACCCAGCAAAACATTCTCCGAACTAACAACCATGGTAAGATTTCACTCCATTACAGTCTTTGCTTGTATAGCCCAAGATACAGAGTTGAGGGAGGGAAGATTCTGTTATTGCTGCTGTTGCTCCAAACTAAAACAAAAACAAAAAAACACCTATTTCTATATAAAAGGAACAGAAAAGGAGACTGTATATGAAACTATAAATCTCTTAAAGTTCAGTTTAGTTTGGGTACTTTTAAAAATACATACTCAATTCAAAATGTTAGCTCCACAGTTATCTCCTTGAAACAGATCTTCTTAACCTGGAATCTTTGAACTTTTTTTTAATACAAAAGTGTCCCAAAAGTTTTAATGCAACTTTAAGCTTCAATAAATAAAAATTTGGGTAAGCCTCTATTTAAGCTAATAAGCTTAAAATTGCACTAAGATTTTTAGGACACCTTGAATTTTTATTTCGACGTCATTAGTTTTCTTTGAATTCTTACATACTTTATTTTATTCATTTAACAACTTTATTCTGAGAAAGAGTCCATAGGCCACTATGGTCCACACTGAACTACAGATGTTCCCAATTCAACTGGCTCTAAAATCAGAGGGATGCAGTTCAAA